ATAAGTAGAAATTTATGATCATTAAGATCAATATGATAGAATCAGATACATTGGACTTTGGAGTTGAATCTCAGCTCTACCACTCCCTAACTATGGGGAATTTGGCAAATCACTTTACCTGTCAGAATTTTATTTCCTTCACCTGTGAAAAAGGATGGATGCTATAAATCTTAACTCACAGAGATGCTGGAACAACTAAATTGGAAAATCTGGTACTGAAATAACAATAGTAAATAGTAGTTTATTCCCTGTCTCTTACATAATTTTGTTATTTCATGTTTAATATTTAATGATACTAACACTTATCATGTCATTATGTTCAGCACCAACAACAGTGTTAATCTGTTGGTATCAAAAATATTATCATTTTCTTTGTGTAACTGGTAAATGTGAGAACTTAAGGCAGTAAGTGTAATTGTTAAGAGTATGGACCCTGAAGCTAGATTTCCCTGGTTTGAATCTTGGCTGTCCCCCACGCTGGCCCCCCCAGCACATACAAGATGTGTGACTTTGAACAAGTTACTTAGCTTCTACGTGCTCTGGTTCCCTTTTCTGTAAGACTAGGACAATGGAAGTACCTGTTTCTTTCAAATATCGTATATAAAACTTTTAGAACCATTACTGCTATAAAGTAGGACCATATAAGTTATAACTAATAATCTTAGAAGATTGTCTATAACCATACAGATAATAATTGGAAGAAGAGGATTTCTGCCCAGGATTTCTGGTTTTAAGTTTTTTTCCCCTGACTCCACATTCCCCTTGGAATTTTATGTAAAGTGAAGTAAGGACTTTATAATACTGATACATAATTACATAAAGCAGTAGCTCTTATTTTCCTTACCAGAGCTGGTTAATGATAAAGCTATGCGGAGTCCAAGTCAGAGGCCCCAGTCAAGATCATTGATTCTCATAAATCTGTTGCCTCTAGAGTCACTGACATTGACTGAATGTCCATGAGCCTCTGTCTTGAGTCATTTGTTAGAATGCTGCTGTGGACCCAGGATCACTGACTCCATAAATCTCTGGCTGGAACCCACTCTATCGGCATCCTAGGTCCCCAAAGGGCCCTTATCGAGTGTGAAAGCAAATGCCGTCAATAGTGGAATAAATACATTATTAATAGTGCATCTATTCGGCCGGGAATGAAGTCAAGAAGGATTGTCACAAGTCATAAATATAAAGGGTTCATTCTTTTTTTGAAGTTGCATTTCTACTTTTATTCTACAACCAGTTTTGCCAAAAAGTCCACAGAGTGGATAGCAAGATATGAAATTTATAAACAAAGGTAAACATAGTTGAAAATAAAAAATAGTTTAAAATTTGATTAAAGTCTCAGATTTGTTTTCCTGTGGAAAATAAAGCCTTTGTTTATGGGGTAAAAAGGAAAGTGTTGTCACCTTTTGAAAACACTTTTACCTATTCATTGTTCATTTAAAATCACATTTCCCAAGGACACTAGAGAAAATTTCGTCTTTAAAGGTTTTTAGAACATTGCTGATTCTTCCCAGATATTTTTCAAACTCAATCAATGAATGTACAAAGTACAACCCTCCAATATCAAATACTTTGAATAATGGCAGGAAATAACTTGTCAGAGTGAAAAAACTTTTATCTGTCACCTAGCCCAGGAAAAGCAGAAAGTGATATTCCTGAAAACTATATTGAAACAGACTAGAAAAAGAAAAAGGTCACACCTCCTCTAGGAACCAAGTAGCACTTGAGGCCAACCCAGACTGGGTTCCACAAACTTCCCAACCATATCAGACTTGTGCTACGAGATGGAAAAATTATCAAAGCAAGTGTGCTTTATGTATGGACATATCTCACAGTGGGAAAAGAAAAAATCACTGAGGAGAATTTAGGATTGTTTGACAGATCCCTGGGGGAAAAAAAAATAAGCCAGCCAAATGCATCTTAAATTTTCTTTGAGGAAGATTTAGTTTTTTCTTATTTAATTATTTCTCAAATACGATTTTCATCCAAATGAAGGAGTTATAGAATGTATGGCTTTCTAGGGTCTAAGATTCAGAGATTTTAAACAGACATAGCAGCTCTTTCATCCCATCCTTTACAGCATTTCTGCAAGGTAGTGATTCAGCTTCTACTTGAAACTGTGAAAATAATAGCTGCCATCTATTAAGTGTTCACTGTGCTGGTCACTGTGCTAAGCACTTCACAATTACCCCTCTTCATCTTCATAATAACCCTGGGAAGAAGACATTATCATCATTTTTTAGACAACTGAGGTTTAGAACACTTACTAACTTGTTCAAGGTCAAAGAACTAATAAGTGTCACAAGGTATGAACTCAGTTCTCTTTGCTTTCAAAGAATATGCACTTAATACCTATTCTGTGCTGCTTGAGTTTTGAGGATGAACAGCTTTGGTTCTTAGAAAAGTTTTCCTCATACTGAGCAGAAATATGCATTCCTATAAATATCAGAGTAAATTTAGAACATCTCAACTGTCCTCCAAATAAGGTAATACAACAATCACATTTCCTTTCACTCTTTTTTTTTAATAAGGTAAATAGCCCAGACACAAATCTAAACTCTGTCTTGAAGGGGAAAAAAAAAGATCAGAGACATGAGGATGCAGAGCAAACTTCATGGAACTGTTCTATCTCATCAATCTACCATGTTATCTAGATTTTTCCAACACATGGGATTTAAGAGATCTCCAGAAATCCCCTGTGAAATCATAAGCTATTTGGGACCAGTAAGATAATTGCACATCATCGTGGATTAGTTTATCCATTAGTTGTTTCCCTACAGAGATGAGGACAAGAGAGGTGATACAGGCTGGGTATGTTCTGATGGATCGACACAGAAGTAGGCTTTGGAAACATGATACCCTCAGGTGTAGACTAACTATAAAGTGTATAATTGCTTGATGGGACCCTCAACCAACCTCTCATCAAATTTCCTTCCAAGAGCTATAATAACACAAATTCTTCTACTAGTACTTTATTTCTGTGGGTTTAACATTTACTCTTTTACCAGGACTTTCTACTGAAATACAAATATCTTTAACACTCAGTGTGAATTATTTTAAGATTCCATTTTTTCCCTATTAGTAGGCACTGGGAAGGAAAGAAAGGAATTGACTAGATCAGTGGTTCTTCAACTTTAGCATGCATCCAGGTTATCAGGAGGATGAGCCATACTCCCAGAGTTCCTGGTCCAGCCAGACTCCAGTGGGGCCTAAAACTTTGCATTTCTTTCTTTCTTTTTTTAATTAATTCTTTTTTTGGAGGTTTTTTTTTTAACAATTTCACATTTTTATTTATTTTTTTATTCTTTTTGGGGGGGGATTAGGTTTTTATTTATTTATTTTAATGTAAGTACTGGGGATTGAACCCAGGACCTTGTATATGCTAGGCATGCACTCTACCACAGAGCTATACCTCCCCCTCCTCCTAAAAATGTGCATTTCTAATAAGTTCTCAAATAATGCTGATGTTGCTGGTCCCAGGATACACACTGAGAACCACTGGATTAGGGATTGGGATAGAAAGGGAAATGGGGAAGGGATAAAGGAGAGTGTTCCATAGCCTAACTGAGCATCTAGAGTATTAGTATTAGAAAATTCAGAGGGATCATTTTATAAGCCTGTCTCTAACAAGGAAAATGAGGCATACAAACTCAAAGTGATGTACACCTTTGCTGAATATTGGTGAGGCAGAATTTGAGCCTTCTGATTTTCAGCTTTGCATTTCAGTCATGAGCAGAGACTTTCAAGCTTGAGGCTCCTAAGACCCTCTGAGGAGCTTGTGAGAAGTAGATTCCGAGACCCACTCTGGACTCAGGGCCCAGAGAGTCCACATTTTGACAGATTCTCTCCGTCACTCAGACTCAGAAAGTATGAAGACAACACTCCAAGAACAAAAGCAAACAGCACCAGGTTCTAGGACCGCCCCACACGGGAGGAGCAGAGACCCCTGGGGGCAAGAGAACAAGCTGTGATGCCTGGGGGCGGCCGAGGGAGAGGGGGAAACTCTGATGCATATTTGCCACCCAAGAGTTAGGTACAAAACAGATGCCGACTGTGGAAACAGGAAACCGTCTCACTTTACTTGTCAAAACACCTCACCCCTCTGAAATAGAAGAGTCCTAGATTTATAAAGAATGTGAACACAGAACCCTCATGTCTAATCCTTACTTGGCAGATACACATAAGCATTTTGAGTGTCTTCCTGCAGGGGCTTAAAACCTCTGCGACCTATAGGGCAAATGGGGACTCCAACAGGAGAGGAAAGAGACAACATTAAGCTTGCTTAGCTTTAGCTTTAATTTTTCACTTTCCCCAAACATGCAATTGCACTCTTATTCCTAATTAAGAAAATTCTTCCTGCTACTGTGTCACCTTCCTTTACTCTGTTTTTCTGCCTTTGTGTATGGGAGCTTAATAATGAAAACAAGCATCTCCATCAAAGTAGCAATGCCATGAAATTCCCTTGCCTCTCCCATTGTTTTTCTAAATATGTAGTGAAAATAAAATCACTTTTAAAGAAAATAAAGAAATAATGAAAATTCTATCAAATTTCTTTTGGCTGAGTACCTTTGGATTTTTAAGGGCATGAAAATGAAAAATATATTTTTATGAGCACAGGAAGTAGACTTTGCAATCCTCTCATAAGTCATCTTACTATATATAGCACACATTAGATTGGAGAAGAGGTCGAATCAATTCCTGTATGAATACATATTCCACTCTAACTCCAGGAAAAATGATGTATCTGCAGATCATTTTGTGAGCTTTCTATTATAAGAAAATAAGTCCTGAAGTGTAAGAATTACTTCTCCAACTTCCTTGTAGGCTCTTTCAATGAATAAAGCCAAAAGACCTTAGAAAGCTTTTAAGGCATCCCATGATTGCCCTCATTTTTTCCCCATTTCAAATTTATCTTACATACCCCATCCTCCCCACCCCTCCTGCCCTTCCTCCTGCTCCTCTACACACATAGCCTTACCATTCCTAATCACACTTAGATTTACCTTGATCTTGATGAACTTGACGTGCCAGGGCCCCTTACTCACACTGGCATCTTGAACGCTAGAAGTTGCTGGGAGTTGTGTAGAGTTTCAGTGAGGACCTGGAAGTCAGAATTGCAATCAGGAGGCATTTCTGTGTAAGCAGTTCTGATAAACTGCCTAAAGAGACCTCATAGAAAAAAGTCATAAATCTACAAGCTTCCAGTAACTTGGATTTTACTTTTATTTTTAATAAATATTCACTTTTGCGTCTAATTTTTATTCTCAAATTGTGTGTTCCTCTTCTTAAAGATGATCAAAAAATATGTAAGTTTCATGCCCACAATACCTGGAGCTGCCCTACTCCCAGTACATACTGGTTTTATTTACATTTGTTTCTTTGATAAAGCTATTTCTAGAGTACCCTTCCATTCTCCCAATATATACCTGCTTTCCCACATCTCTGTATATCAAAATACCATCCATCCTCTAATTTTTAGTTCAAATGCCTCATGATCTTCTAATTCTCCAATTAGTATAACTCTCACTTGTACACTTATAGTCCCTCTTTTATCATAAATTTCACTACATCTTAAATCAAATGCCATTAGGTATATATTTTTTGTAAGACAAAAACCATATCTTTGTTGTCTTTTGCTTCTTTGATACCTATGCAACAACCATGGTGATGGAAAGTCAGGGGTGGGTGTGGCAAACCTACAATTAGAATAGCAGTCATCATATTCATATTATTTATTAAGCATGGGTATTGTGTTGGTAACTTGATATATAATATGTCACTTAATAATCAGAATAGCTCTGCAAAGTAATTATTAATATCTCCACTTTACAAGAGGCTCACAGGTAAATTATTTGCCTGGGGTCATTGTTATAAACTGAACTGTGTCACCTCAAAACACATATGGAAGCCCTGATTCCCAATGTGACTGTATTTGGAAATAGAGCCTTTAAGGAGACAATTAACATAGAAAAAGAATATGAGAGCTGAATCACTATGCTATATTCCATAAATTAACATAACATTATAAATTGACTATATTTCAATTTGAAAAAAAAAAGGCATTTAATGAGGTCATGGGGTAGGACTATAATCCAATGGGACCAGTGTCCTTCTGAGAAGAAGGCAGCAGAGACGTGAATCTTTATTCTGTAAAAGGCCATATGAAGACAGCAAGAAGATGGCCACCAGCAAGACAAGAAGAGAGGCCTAAGGAGAAACCAATCCTACGCCCAAATTTGATGTTGAACTTCCAGTCTGTAGAACTTTGAGAAACAAATTTCTGCTGTTCAATCCACCCAGTCTATGTTATTTTGTTATGGCAGCCCTAGGAGACTAACACAGCCACACAGCTAAAAACACTGGAAACACTGGTGTTAAATTGAACTTAGACCCATGTAATATTCTTGCTCCAAGGTCATGCTGAAGAAATGACTCACTTCTCTGTATAATGATAATCCATGCTCAGCTTATAAAATATTCAAAATATCTGTGATTCAAAAAGGCAAGTGTTTCCTTTCTTGCTACCTCAAAGACAGCAATATTGTAAAATAAATTTTATATTATATTAACAAAAAGTCTTTGAAATAGGGTTTTATATTTATGTATAATACCTCAGTCTTAGAATTATCTCTTTAGTGATTGAAATGGCACACAGGGGAAGACAATTAGAAATGGCTGAATAGATATAGAATCAAGAGACGACTCTGGTGGGTTTGACTTTCATTTCCTCTTTTATGTAAAAAGAATTCAATATGCCATACATACTAGAATAATGAACATTTACTCTAAGTAATTGAATTACCTTGAGTTCCCTTTATTAGAAGGATTTTTCTTAGAAATGAATTTTTCCCATTATGATACATTGTAAGTTTTCAGAAAGCTCTATCAGAGTCAGGTTTCTGCTTACAGAGCATATTGTAGACACAGAGGATAGAAAGCAAACTGTAGTCAAACATATTCTGGAACTAGGAATTAGAAAACAGTCTATTGAAAAAAGAAAAGACCCACAAGTTGTTTTCCAAACAGAATAACATATCGATGCAGCAAGTTTTTGTTTGTATGATCCAAATAAATTATGAAAATTTTAGGACAAATAGTTTTTCTTAATGTTATTCAATTTATTTAAATTTAAAAAAAAAAAGCAGCTCACCCATTTCTTCCATCCCCGTCCCACTACTTCTGGGGCAACCACCAATCTGTTCTCTGTATCCATGAGCTTTGTTTTTCTTCAGACTCCACATATAAGAGATTATACAGCATTTCTCTTTCTTTATTTTACTTAGTGAAATGCCCTTGAGGTCCATCCATGTTGTCTCAGATGGCAAGGTATCATTCTTTTTGTGGCTGAATAATATTTTTATAATATATATTCCACAATTTCTGTATTCATCTGGTGATGGACACTTAGGTTGTTTCCATATCTTGTACAGTAAATAATGCTGCAATGAACATGGGGGTGCATATATCTTTTCGAGTTGGTGTTTTCATTTTCTTCAGATAAATACCCAAAAAAGAAATTGCTGGGTCATATAGTAGTTTTATTTTTAACTTTTTGAGGAACTCCATACTGTCTTTCATAATGGCTGCTCCAATTTACATTCCCATCATCGGTGCACAAAGGTTCCCTTTTCTCCACATCCTCACCAGCACTTGTTATTTCTTGTCTTATTGATAATAGCCTTTCTGAAAAATATGAGGTGATAACTTATTGTGATTTTGATTTGCATTTCCCTGGTGATTAACGATGTTAAGCATCTTTTCATGTACCTGCTGGCCATCTGTATGTCTTCTTTGGAAAATTATCTCTGCAGGTCTTCTGCCCATTTTTAGTTGGATATTTTTTTTTTTTTGCTATTAGGTTTTATGAGTTCTTTATATATTTTGGATATTAACCCATGATTTGCAACTATTTTCTTCCATTCAGTTGGTCACTTTTTCATTTTGTTGATGGTTTCCTTTGTTATGCAAAAACCTTTTAGTTTGATGTAGTCCTACTTGTTTATTTTTGCTTTTGTTGTTTCTGCTTTTGGTCTCAGACTCAAAAAAAAAAAAATCATCACCAAGACTATGTCAAGGACAGATATATTTGTAAAGTAATTAAATTCCTTTAATGTAAATTTTCCTGTAATATTTTTAGGCTAGGGTTAAACTAAAAGTATATTTATATTGTTTTTCTCATTTCCATGACTTAATATTTCAACCAGATGAGACTGATTTACAGCCTTTGATATAAGAAATATTTGGAAAATTCACTGGGAAACCATATTACTGGTTAACTCATATCAAGCCAGGATACCTAGATTCAACTTCTAGCCCCAGTCCATCTTAAGTGGCCCATCTATTCTATTTATGTTCATTTTACTCACCTATAAAGTAAGAGGATTGGATTAGATTATCAACATGTTCCCCTCCAATTTTATAATCTTATAGTTGTAAAGAGAGTATTTAGTATTTGGTTTTCCAACTCCACACTCTCTTTTCCTTGCTGAGATGTCCCTGAAAGTCATGTCTGAGATATATGAATTACAGGATTGAAGTAACTCAGATCTCTGTGTTGTCTGATAGAGAAACAAAGTTTGTGCTAGTTCACTGAGGTTTCAGGACATATTTGTTAACACAGCACAACTAAGATTATTCTGACTAGTAAAAATATAGTCCCCTAACTTGTGCCATCCCCCCCCCAAAATTCATATGTTGAAGTCCCCAATGTGACTGTGTTTGGAGATAGAGCTTTTAGGATCTAACAAAGGATAAATCAGGTCACAAGGGTAAGGCCCTAATCTATTAGAATTGGTGGCTTTATAAAATAAGAAAGAGCCCCACCCCACCCCAGAGCAGACACTGGGGAAAGGCCAAGTTAATACACAGCATAAAATAAGCCAACTACAGGCCAGGAATGGGAGCTCTCACCAGAACCCGGCAAGCTTAGGCCAGCATTTTGGTAGACTCTTTAAAAATGGGCTTAGAGGATTCAAGCTTAATTCTGGTTCTGCCATCTGGATTCTCTGTTTGAACTGATGTGGCCCTTGACCATAAGGATAAAACCACTTGTCTGAGTACACTTCTTGCTGAGTCCCTCCTATAGTGGCTCATGTAGGCTGAAGTGAGGAAAATAACAATTTCTGTGAGCTTTAGAGAAATCTCTTTGTTCCTCTTGCACCTGACCCTCCCAGTCAATAGATACAAGTAAGGGATGCTTGCAAGAAAGATGAAGTCATATCTACTAGAATGGGAAATGGGACACCCTTATTTTGTGGCACTGGATGGGCAACAGTGACCCTGGCACCTATGAAGGGAGGAAAGAACATTCATAATTTTCATCTTTCAGGAAGTGCCTGGGGCATGGCTCTCTCTAACTATTGCAAACACCTTTAATTACACTATATGTATAACTGAACCACTATGATGTACACCAGAAACTAATACAATATTGTAAACTGACTATACTTCAATTAAAAAAATTAATAAAAAAGAAAGAAAATAAACTATTGGGCCTGCCATTCCATGCCAATTTTAGCTCTGACCAAAATTTGACTGCCACGACTCTTAGACTTTCTGAGAAATGTATCACAAACAGCAGAGGATAGCCTCAATGTTTACATCCCCCATGCAGAACACCTGAATATCTTCTCCATCACCTGTGTCTATAACTGTTGCTCAGTCATTCCATGGCATAGATCGACACAACCTGGCTGGCGACATGCACACCGTCACATGGTTCCTTCAAAAGCAAAGCCTAGACATAATTACTTGAACTGAATTGGGAACCCTAAGGCTTTCTAGCGAGCCAAGAAATCATATTGGAGGCACTGTCAAATTGCACCCCTTGATTGATGGGGGTCCCACTTGTGACAAACCCTAAATGACAATTCAAACAAATTTGGTCCCACTTCATCAGTCAGAATAGAGTGGCTGACAGGGTCGTGTACTCATGGGAAATTTCACAAGTCAAGAGACAGAAACAAGAGGTGGATAATTTCTGGGATCATTTCTCTATGGGTTTCTTGCTTTTTTGCCCATCTTTGAACAAGACACTGACTGGCCTTTCTTCTAGACTATTTTTCACAGGTATTTGTAGAGCAAACAACTTTGCCTACAGTC